GTGTGTGTGTGTGTGTGTGTGTGTGTGTGTGTGTGTGTACGTGGGTAAATGTGGCATGCACTGCAAAAGTGCTTTGAGTGGTTATAACTAGAAATGCATCATGTAAATGTATCTTTTTAACCATTTAGCATCAGTTTGTAACTGTAAATTAGTCTGTTGGTCCCCTTAGAGAAAATTGCTCATTTTTCTCTTGTAATGAATCATATCCATCCCATTCAGGACAGTCTTCTTCATCTGAAAAATAGATGTTTGGTGTCAGATGATGTTTATTATCCTAACTATATGAAAAAGACAAAAAAGTGGAGGTTTAGATTAATTTGATAAATGTAATACCTTGTTAACTTGTAATGTTCTTCTTACTAAATTACCAGAAATTAAACATCACCATTTATTTTCAGTAGGATCTGACAGTCTGTTATCATTTTAGAAATAATGTGCAGTTTACAAAAAAAAAAAAAGTTAAAAGCGTTAACAGGGTTATTTTTGGATCCTTTGAGAAGTGGCACAAAAACTCATGAGAAAGAGTGACACTTGTCAAAAAAAGAGGTTATTCCTCAGGAGCCCAGTTTAGGAAGTTTAAAGGAACAAAAGAAGATGCTCAACCTGATAGATACAGAGATTTTCGAGTTTTCCATTCCTCTGGGCATGAATCCATCCAGGAGCTCAGTACTCACCAGAGAAGTACCATGCAGTTCTTCAACAGACAAAAAAATGTTGGCATTGTTGAGATGCTACACTCTGTGTCTATCAGAAAGGAGGACAATGAGTGTGGTCAGCTGGTAACAAATGAGAGCAGCTGTGATGTATTTGAAAAAGCACTTCCTATGACACATACCAGAGAACAACGTGAGAGTGCCTGCTTTGAAAAAAGACTCTGATGATGTTCTCTTGCATTTTTAATTAATTTCGTACTTGCACGTCTCCCCCACTGCATCTCTCACTTGCCAAAGCTCTTTAACAAGAGAACCTCTGGGAGACACTCTACGTTGCACAAGCCCTTTAAATGGAACCACATACTGTCAGAGGATACAGCATCCTGCGAGACCCTACATTCTTCTGCTTTATTGTTGTCACCGTAGAGTCGAATGATTGAAGCCACAAATCAGAATGTGAGGCTTACCTAAATGAGATGTGGGTTTATGCAAATACACAGAACTTTTTCATCACTTCATTAGACATGTGACAGGCCCATTGAAACAATCAATCTGCACATTTTTAATGGTTCAGTCTGAGTGGATTTTTTTTTCTTTTCAAAAACAAAACTTAAGTTCTGTAGAGGACCTGAGAACAAAACTGACAGACAGAAAATGCAGTCGTCACCTGATCAAAGCGAAAAATAACAGAAGTCCTCATATGACATGGTTTTTGGTTTGTCTGATCGTTCAATTTCAAAATAAATTTTCAAAAGTCATCACAATTCCGTCCTTTGAAAACAATAAAGCCTCTTGTGTCTTAAACCCTTAATATCTTTTATTAATGCAGACTATATTCATGATGTTTTGAGGCTCTTTATACTCTTTTAGAAAAACACAGCTGTGTTTATTTACTAGTAAAAAAAAGAAGAGAGACACATGTCTTTGCAGATCAAACAGCTTCTTTGTCACTGTTGTTGTTGGCACCATATTTCTATTTGGCAACAACATATTCTAGCGCACACTGCAAGTTTTTTTTAGATTGATTTTCTTCCTTCCACTTGGTCACAATGAAAACGTTAACGCTGCAGTCTCCAGTCGTAATTCTAACTTAGTTTGGCGCATGTGAGCCAAACCTAAAATGCTCCCGTGGTGCATTTAGTGTTAAGTCACCTGCAAATCACTTTGAAAGGCAACGTCTGATGAATGACAAAATAAAATGTAACATCTATCTTCTGGCTCAGGTTTCAACCTGTGAAAACACTTTTTATTTCTAGCTGCAAACAACATCCAGCCCAGTTACACTCAAGGAAACAAGCCTGATGTTTGCTCTCAAGGAGGCAAGATTTTAAAAATGTATTTCCCCATCTGTTATAAAGCCATCATTACAATGATCTTAAATGTACATTTGATAATTTATAACATTCAATCTGAATAAGAGGAACTTTTTTTGGTGGCTGATAATGAAAGACTTCTGGGTGACACGAGAGCTTGGCTTTGGACTCCTAATTTTGCTTTGCATGGATGCACTCCTTTGTGCCTCTAATCACCTCGTATTGTGAGATGAGAACCAGTTGGAACCGCCACGCTCCATCCGCTCATCTGCCTCCGTGTCATTACAGTGTGATGAGTCGTCTTAAATCTTTGAACAGTGGGGGTTGTTTATAATATTTCTCGATTGACAATCTGCAACATGACTTTAAATAGTTTGGGTTCTGATAGCTAAAAGATAACTAGATACAGCAAAGTGGTAGCAAATGTGACCCCAGCCCGCATGTACGCAACGCACCAATGCAACAGAAATCAGAAGTCACCAGAACAGATTCATTGTTCTGGGTGGAGGTCCAAAGCGGGTAGAAGGATCTCATTGGTGGGCCTGATGGACAGCCAGAGTTAAACAACAACAACAACAAAAATCCAAACCTTCTATTTTGAATAGTTTTTGAGTTATAAGCATTTAAACCCAGTGGCGGCTGGTGGATTTTTCTCCCTGCTTTGCATGCGGAGGTCCTAATTAAAAGGGGTTCTCTCTATGGCAAGTCCGTCAAAACTCATTAGACACTGTTATTGTATTGTGTATATTATAAACACTGGATGTACTGAAATACATCTACAATCTATTCATTTTTGGAATCAAACTGACAAGATGGCCAAGCTAAATGTTGGCCAACACAAAAATGGTTCTAACTCAGTGGAACTCTCCAACATCGTGGTAAAACTTTGATGTGGCGGAAACTGAAAGTCATCTCAACTCATGCTTTAAGTTTGAACATGTTACGAAATTTCGCAAAAACCCATGAGCCAGACTGCACCTACAACCAGTTACAAAACTTAACCAAGACGGTTATAACTCTATCTCATCTCTTCATAAAATGATCTTGGTTTCACACTCTTAGGAAGTCTTTACATTTGTAAATCTTTATCCAGTTAAGTTTATGTATTTAAATAATATATACATATTGGTTCAGTTCTGGCAACAGCCAGGGAATATCTGAAAGGAAGACCTCCACAAATATTGTTAAACAAGGTCAACTGTATCTTGTGCCAAGTGTTTTGTGTGTTTCGGAGTTGATGTCATGGGAGATTGAGGCAAACTGTAACTGGTCTTCACACGGCCATAGATCCTCAAGCGAAAGAAGGAATCTAATTTCCTCATGGCTGAAAGGCTTGGGGGTGGGGAACTGATGCGTAGAGCTAGCGGTCCGTGTAAAATTGACCATGAAAGTCGCTCAATTCAGATCAAAGTTAATACAGCCCCCGTTTGCCCTGACTGTTCAATAGCTCCAGCGCATCAGGGGTTGGGGAAAAAGCCTACAGGGCTCTTTGGCAAAGTCACAAAGTGTCGGTGACCGGTGACACAAATATTCTGTTACTGAAGACATAAATCATTTAACTGATAGCTGTAAGATGTGCATATTTTTTCTTAAAAATCCAATCTTTTAAATAGACTCAGAGTGACCAATAAAGTTCGCTGACCTTAGCTGACTATTTTAATCAAAATAAAAATTTGAACTTTTGATAAACAGTTGGAAACTGTTGCATTAAAGAAGTTTTAAAACGTACAAAGAAAAAAGGAAAAAAATCACTAAAATAATATAATATTCTTTAGATTTTTGTTTTTGCAGCCCATAAAGAAAACACACTTCAGAAAGTGTCAGAAAGCTCTGGTAGTCTGTGATGCTGGGGGTGAAAAAAAACCCTGAACTGGTTTAGCTCTCTGTTTGAATTGTGGAGTTGTCAAAGAAAAGCACACGCTGCTCCTCTTAGACTTATGCTCTCTTCACTAAACTTAATCTCTTCTGATTCAAAGCTGCCAGCTGCTTTTGTCTTCCCTCCGTAAAGAGCGAGACTTCTTCCAACTTCTGTCAAGCAATTAAAACAAAGCAGTTTTTAAAAGTATGCACCAAATTTCACTTGATTTTCTTTTTTTGTGAGAGTTTTTCTTTTTTTCTCCCTAAAAATCAAGAGATATTTAAGATACAATCAGTCAGCTAATTAACTTGAATGTAAAAAGATCTAATTTATTGCAGTTTCGGTGCAAAAAGCTACTTAATGACTTCAGATGAGTTTAGAAAACTTCTTCACAAAAGTATATCTGCGATGCTTCACTGCTTTTTACTCTTTGTTCAGTGCTCATCAAACAAACTTCATCTCTGCGTCACTGACTCAATCAGCATTTCATTTGTTTCCACTGTTCAGAACATTAAACAGGAGGCCAGATTGATTAATGGCATTTCATTTTTCCCAGCATGCCTTGTGAGAAACCCTAGAGTGCTCTGATATATGTCCTCTAATTAGAGCGGGCCAGCTAATGAGCCTCGTTTGGGCTCGGAAAACTAATAAAGGAAATCTAATGCAGAGGTGATGCCCTGTGGCAATTAGATAAGTTACCAGACAAGCAGTATTTTTCTGAGTCGTTCTTGGGGCATTTCAACGACAGGAAAACATGGTTAAGTGTCTTTATTACCTGAGATGAATTTGTCCGTTACAGTCTTCAATTGATCCAGATTGATTATGGAAAAGAAGCAGTGATGGAACCCAGTCGGTGTGTCAGGCTCATTAACATCAGCCTTGTTGAAAGTACAAACAATGAGAATGTCTTGTTCAGTTTTACATAGCTGTTACTTTTTCGTACATAAATACAGTTGTTCCTTCAATATAATTACAGGCTGGGATTGATTAAAAATATATATTTTTAACATAGTCAGTTGTCGGAATTTTTTTTCTCAACCAGTTGTAGTTTAGATTATTATTATTATTACACAGAGTTGTAAAGTAACTAAGTACAAATACTTAGTTACTGTATCCTGATGCATCTCAGTAATCCAGGTAAAAAATCAAAAAGAAAAAAACTGTATAGGTCTTCTGGACGGGTTCTTCTCTAATGAAACGTTTCGTCTCTCCTCCAAGAGACTTCTTCAGTCTGAGAGTTTCAGGCTNAGGGACACAAAAGAGACAATCAACCATCCACACTCTGTCACACCTGGAGTCACGCAGAAGAGCTCCAGAAGGTTTCAAACTGAGAACTCTGGACTCAGATCATCTGCTGCATACAGTTCTGATCACTTATTATCAATAATAATTTTATTGATAATTACAGTATCATGAGGTGTCCTTAACTAGGATGTAGTTAGGCAATTAAATATTCATGTATGTGTAAATTTATTACCATAATTGCCGGTGAGTCACGTAAATTTATGTTTTTATAAAACAAGTAAACACTGCTCTACTTTCTTGACTGTCCTGACTCGTGATTCGGCAGAGCGTGTAAACTTTGGGCTTCTTTTCTATTTAGGAGGAACAAAGCGTTGCAGCTATCTTTAGCTTTAAAAGGCTTTAGTTCTCAGAAATTCATAGTGAGATTTCTTTGAAAACTTAAGACACTCAGGGGTGAAAAGGAGCTTTTTCAAGATAAATGAAATCTCCGCTGTGATCCTTAGCAGCAGAACTTTGACACAACTCTAGTTCCGGGATTATTGTGAGCTCTTTCACAAAGTTGAATGCTTGGTGTATTGAGAGGCTTGCATTCAGTTGTGCAAAACTAGTAATTTCTTAAAATCTGCAATTATACACATTTATCTGGGGTGTTATTCACTATGTTGGAGGAAGTGGACTATATTATGGTTGTTTGTTTGTGTTCTGTGCGATTACAGAAGCTCCCTCCTGAGCTCAACCTGCAGGAGCTGGAGGAGTACAGAGACAAGCTGAAGAGACAACAGGCTGCAGTGAGTATTTCTCTGTTTTCTCCGTCACTAACTCTCACACAGTCAGGAATGCCAACAAATATCCTCAGTCRTAACAAGATTAAAGATTGAAAGATGCAGCGAAATAAAACATTTTAGGCATCTTCTATGTGGACTCAAAATTTAACTGCCCGCATTAATCAAAGGTGATGAGTAAATATGAAAATGCACATTATCTATATGGTATTTGTTGTATAAAAATATCTTTGTTTCCAGATTCTAAAGGAGTTTGGTCCCGAGGTAAAAAAAACTGGTGAAGCAAAACGTTAATTTTCTCTTAATTAGTTGAACTAAAAACTAAGTGTCAGAATGTCAGGAAGTCTGTGGTATTATTTGTTTTTTTTCCTTTAGAAATAATGGACTCAGGATCTGTCACTTGTCTTCTAAGCGAGTAGGTATGGGGTGAAAGTATTGACAAATTGAAATGAAATGACTCCTCAGTGAGCCTTCTAGTCTTTGGCACAGCCCAACGTGACTGGGATCTTATAGATTATTCTCGRGTTTACTTTCTGAATTGCAGATTTAAATTCTATAAAATCAATTGAGTATTTTATCATCATAGTCATCATCATAGTTTTAAAAATAATCTTAAAAAGTATTTTAAATCTACCCAATGTTGCAATCACTGAGTTGCACTGGGTAATCGATTTTAGAGTTTGCTTTTGGTTTGGGAGAGTTGTGGAGTTTTTGTTGAATGTTTAGTGATATAACTTTTTAATTGGGACTGGAGTGTGGGGTGGGGTTTTTATGTATTTTTTAATTGCAAAATGTTTTATTTTATATTTTTATTTTTCTGTTTTTTTTCCCTCTCTTATTTCTATTTTACTGTTGGATGTTGTTTTGTTTTTTACTGTTTGATGGGACTACAGATGTAAATTAGCCTTAGGCTAAATCTTGTGCAATGCATCAAATTAGGTTTTAATTGCACACTGTCCCGAATAAATAAATCATTCATTCATCAATTCATTCATAAATAAACCAAATAACCTATATTAAATAAAGGTTAAGTAAAATTAACAAACCAACATCCATTTTTTTTCCCAGGAAAAAACAAATCATATAAACATTTAAATAGCTAAATATGACAACAATACCTATTTTTTGTGTTGGAGTAAAACCTATCAATTAGCAATTCAAGCTTTATCTAAGAAGTTTAAAGTTAAACTTGAGTCAGAATGTCGTCTTGTGTGAGCTCAGATGAGCTTTGTGCTCACTGAGTGAGAGAGATTTGTGTTCTTGTTTGATTTTTGGAGTTTATAGCAAGTATAGACAGAAGACACCCAGATATATGGTAATAAACTGAACAAATAAACATTCTAATATTTCCTCTAAGTAGTGATTAACATGCAGTAAATGTTTCGAGTGTCACAGTGAAGGACGATGTATAGATTTATTTAGAGCTGAAGATGACTCATTCATGTCTTTTGTCCTCACATGGATGACAAATTGATCATCTGTGTTAAATACAGCCTCTGGGTAAGACATCGTGCCTTACTGAAATTTAGGTTTTCTYAAGACTTTAAATACAATTTAAATATCTTCTGAGGTTTGCTTTGATGTTGGCTATAAGAGTCAGATTATGAATGCGTTTAAATCTGAACAGTTGCTGTGATATTTAACTCATGCCTTTTTCTTCTTGTTCTATTCAACAACCACAGTTTCTATCATCTCAGGTTGACAAACAGTCATTCTGTTCTGTGGGGATTTTATCTATTGCACTTTTAGTCTAAGTTGATCTGCAAATATTTGGTCATGAAGACTAGTTTAAGGACAAAGCATCAGAATGAGTCTAAGTGAGCCGAAAATGAACATTCTGTTGAATTTTAATAACACAACTGACTTAAGCCCTGTCACACTAATGTTTTAAACACCTTATAAAAACTTTCTCCAACTTTGAAGATGTCTCTCTTTATGGCTGCAGGACCCGAGGCAACTGTTCTCCAGTGTATGTGATTCATGTTTTTGTTTTTGTTTTGTCTTTCTCTTGAATGGGTTGTTATGAATTGTAATTTCCCTTTGGGTCAATAAAGTATAATGTAATTGAATTGAATTGTGTAAATAGGCAGTGCTTTGTACCAGCAAGTGTTTAGGCAGCTCCACATGGCTACAGGGGATTCAAGGATTTCTCAAACATGCATGAATGAGTCAAAGCAACACTCTGGGTATGTTTTTGATAAGGGAATGATATCCATCCATGGTAAATGGTAAATGCACTGAACTTACAG